AAGGGTCAATTTCTCCTTGTTTAAGATCCAAGGAGTTTGGATCTGTATTCACCAGGGAATTGGTGAGAGGTTTCTCAAGGCTTCCCAGGGAGGGAATCCAGTGGGAATGGTGGCAGCGGGACCAGAGCTAAGCTGGTAGTTAAGCTTAGAAGTTTTCATGCAGGCCCCTACATTTGTACCCTAAAGTTCAAAGTGGGGATACAGCCTTGACACCCATTCACCCCGTTCCATCTTGTCGCCTAATCTCTCACCCTACACTCATCCCTCCCTTAACCTTATCCTTAACCTCTTCCTCTCCTCAGGTTCCTTCCCATGACAATTCAAGCATGATTTGGGGCACGTCTACACTAGAAACATAAATTCACATCTACACTACCCTCCTTCTGTTGGTGATGCGTGTCCTCACCAGGAGTGCTTCTACCAACTTAAGAGGGGCAGTGTGGGGGGCTGAGAGCCTGGGTGTGACGTTGCACTCCATAGGATTCTATGAAAATATGCTAATGAGTGTGAATATAATGTAAGTGGAATATGCTTCATGCAAAAGGTCCCTTGTAAAATATCATTACAAAGCTTATAATCTACTGAGTGTGGTCATCCCATTTGTATAAATGTATCATTCTTGTATCTAAAACTAAAAATAAGAAATATAACTCTGAGGTCCTATTGTAATTATGCAAAGTGTGGGCCATTAATGGTGGTTTAGAATCTTGATGGCTCCAATAAACTAGGACAATTGGTTGTAAATGGCTCTGTTTACTGGCAAACCTTCCTGTGAGTCAGACCAGGAAGAATGAAGGCTTGGGGTTCTCCCAGGACATGTGACCATGTCACCTGGTACTGGAATCCATCTTAAACCTGGTGCTTTTCCATTTAGAAGGAGGGGTGGGGACCCAGAGAGACAAAAGATTCCTGCCTTGTGCCAAAGCTATATAAGGGGATGGAACAGAACAAAGGCTGCAGTCATGAGAAATCCCCTAGCAACCACCTGAGCTGGAACAAGGACTGTACCAGGGGAAAGGACTGGGCCTAGACTAGAAAGGAGTCTAGTCTGTGAAAGCAGCTTATTGGAACATCTTTGAGGGTGAGATTTACCAGTATTCAGTTTCTTAATGTATTAGGCTTAGACTTGCGCATTTTGCTTTATTTTGCTTGGTAACTTACTTGTTCTGTCTGTTATTACTTGGAACCACTTAAATCCTACTTTTTATATTTAATAAAATCACTTTTGCTTATTAATTGACTCAGAGTAAGTAAGTAACATCGCGGAAGCAAACAGCTGCGCATATCTCTCTATCAGTGTTATGCATATAAGCTTTATACAGGGTAAAACAGATTTATTTGGAGTTTGGATCCCATTGGGAGTTGGGTGTCTGGGTGCTGGAGACAGGAGCACTTCTTAAGCTGTTTTCAGTTAAGTCTGCAGCTTTGGGGCGCGCGGTTCTGACCCTGGGTCTGTGTTGGAGCAGAATGGCGTGTCTGGCTCAACAAGGCAGTGTTCTGGAGGCCCAAACTGGCAGAGAAAACGGGCTCAATGGTAGTCTCAGCACGTCAGGTGAGAGTCCCAAGGGGTCTCTGTGACCGAACCTGTCACACTGGGCTCTCAGCTCCACGAAGCTCCCCATCACCGAGAGCCCAACTGCCCCACTGGGCTCTGGGGTCCCCGCCGCCTGGAATGGGAAGTCTCTGGGTAGCAGCCGGGATGGGAGCCGGAGCAGTCAGCCTGGGAGCAGGGTAGGAGCCGGGAGAGCTGGGAGCCGTGTGGGAGCAGCCTGACTGGGTTCAGGGAGCCCAGGAGCCCCACCCACCCCATTGACAGTGCAGCTTTCTTGTCAATTTCATGGCTCCAGCACAGAGCCGTGAAATTGACAAGAATGACAGCAACAATTGATGTAAGTGTGACGCGGTGTCTATATAGACACCGAGTCACATTAAATACACCGACATAAGCCCTACGCCTCTTATGGAGGTGGAGTTATAATGTCGGTGTAGTATGACTTACATCAGTGGGAGCAAGGCTATAGTGTGTACACTAACATAATGAGGTCGACTTAAGCTGCCATATCACAACCTAACTTTGTAGTCAAGTATCGGGGGTAGCCGTGTTAGTCTGTATCCACAAAAACAACAAGGAGTCCGGTGGCACACTAAAGACTAACAGATTTATTTGGGCATAAACTTTCATTTTTTTTTTTTTTAACCCACGAAAGCTTATGCCCAAATAAATCTGTTAGTCTTTAAGGTGCCATCGGACTCCTTGTTGTTTTAACTTTGTAGCGCAGACCAAACTTTAGTCTCTTCCATCCTAAAAAATCCCACCCTTGATCCCACGTGGACCACCCCACCTCTCTTTTCATCTTGAATTTCATTGAATGTGCTGCCTAAAACTGCCATCTGAAGTTTCTCCAAGACAATTCCATCCTAGACTCTCCCCAAACCATCTTCCACCCCTTGTGCTCTAGCTATCAAAGTATTTAACAACTTCCTCCCAGCCAAAACCCAGAACAAGTACTCTATTTGCATCTTTCTTGGCCTGTTGGCTGCATCTGATGTCAACCACTATATTGTTCTTTTTAACAACTTGTCATCCCTCTGCTTTAGTTACAGTCCTCTCCTGCCAGCGTACATCACTTAAAACTTTAGTGTGTCATTCGGAGATGGTCCTGCTCACTACCCCCTCCACCTTTGTGGGGATCTCACAGGGCTCCATCCCTGGTCTCCTCTTCTTCCTCTACATATTATCTCTGGGCAATCTAATCCACAAACACAAATTCAGCTTTCATGTCTATACTGACTGGTAAATCTAACTCTCCACTTCGGGCCTGTCTCTGCCTGTCCCAACTAAAAATCTCAGCCTTTCTGATACCTCCTCATGGATGTCCTGCTGTCAGTTTAAAGTAATCATGACTAAAATATCCGTGTTAGTCTGGATCTGTAAAAGCAGCAAAGAGTCCTGTGGCACCTTATAGACTAACAGACGTATAGGAGCATGAGCTTTCGTGGGTGAATACCCACTTCTTCGGATGCATGTCACTTAGATTGTGATTTCTTCAGGGCATGGACTATCTGTTATATGGTTTTACAGTGACTAGCAAAATGGGGCCCTAGCCTCTAGACACTAGCATAATGGAAAAAACAATTGTGGCAACAACAATTAAGCAGGACAAAAACAATTGTGGCAACGACCAACAGTTTCAAATGAAAACATCACCTTCTCTCTCAAACCAGTTAGAGGTCAACCTCACATAGATAAACTGCATATATTTTCATTATTTGGGTGCATGTCTCATCTACGTTAATATTAACATTAGACAGATTATTTACAGCTCATCACTACCTCTAGCAGTTCCTGGAGTTTTTCGGATATAGTGTTAGATAAAATATTTGTTCACTAAGTATCTTGCAGGTCAAGAGCCGCAAAGCAGCCCTGTGAGGCTGACGATGGAATTACGGAGGCAAGGATTGCCGCCACCCTGATCTTGAGGGAACTAAATGTCTTCATTCATTGCTTCGAGTCCAGGTGCCATCCCCCTTTCTTCCGAAAATTTTTGGCCATGTGAATAGAAAGGACAGTCTTGAAAAGTAGAACTAAGGTGAAAAACACAAATATTTCCTCCAAAATGATTGTTCAACAATTGTTTTAGTCAAAAAGGGCACTTACTTTGTTTTGTTTTTTGTTAAAACCCTGTGCAAATGCTTTCATTTCAGAATGTAACAACTAACAAGCTATTGGGCAAATTTTCACATGCCTCAGCCACAAATTCTATTTAAAAGGACAGGAAGAGAAGACAACTAGAAAAGATTTTGAGTAGGCTGGCATTTTCACAAAACACTAGCTAATCAGCATAAGTGTTTTCAGAGTGCATCTCTTGCCTTCTACTAATTTTTTATCCCCTCTTCTCACTAAATTCATCCATCCCAACACAAAGGCTAAATAACTAAGCTTTCTATGAGGAACTAAACAAGGGTGAGAGAGCTAAATTCACCCCAGCAACAGGCAGTGAGGCACACCCCAAATGGTCCCTTCTTAGCTAGCCTAAGTGGCATTAGCATGAAGATTACCTTTGTGGGGGTATAGAAGCTCCCCATATGGCTGTTCCAATCTACTATGGAACTTAATTAGGAAGGATAGAGGGCTTTTGTATGGATTTTCCATATTTGGGTGAACTTAAACCTTAAAGAAACAATGGAAAACGGTCAAAATTTAGGACAAATGATCTGTCATGCACCTACTTTTATTTTTTTAATTTTTTTTTTTTTTTAAATCAACTCTTCACTGAAAATCAGAGAAACTCTGAGTTGTATTTGCCCATGATGGGTCAATACAGTTATCACAACAATATGGATGGCCTATAAGGGATTTATGAATAGTTTGTACTAACCAGAGAAACAGGAAGCCAGAAACAAACCAGCAGTTTCTGTAACCACTTAAGTAATTTCTGTGAGATTATATATAAGCAAAGTAATTGACAAGAATCCCTTGAGTAACAAATATTTTTAATAAAATTGTGTACATTTCAAACAGAGCTTCAAGTCAATTAAGCCTTACTAACTCTGACTCCTCAAAATGTGTTTCATTATTATGGAAAATCCAACAGGACAAGTTAAATTAGGGAAAACTACTGTTCCCTAGATTTTAAGTGAGAAGATAGACATTTTTATATAGAATTATCCTACGTTTGATTGGTAGCAAAACTTCAAATGACAGTTTTCAGACCTGGCAAAACAAAACCTGCTGGAGGGAGGGGAGGGGGGAAAAAGAGGGAGATGAGGGGAGAAGTGAGCAACTAAGAACCATGTACAAAAACTATTGTCAGCACAATTGGGAATCCGGATACAGCTAGGATAGCAAGACACCACTTTATGCCTCAGCAGCATACACGCAATAGTCAGCACAACCAAAGATTTCTGATTTTTGATATAAAGGGGTCAAAAAAATCATCTTTACTTTCCTTGGCAGCACAGTTCAATTGTTTACAAAATTACAAAGGTTCAATTCTTACCTTTTGTAGGCTGGTAGGATTTAGCTGGGTTTTATCTATTATTTTCACAGCAACCTAGGGGAAAAACAGTTATTACTAAACTTGTAAGCTCTGACAAAAATGTGCATGTTAGTAGCTAAACACACTGCATATCTAATGTGCATAAACAGCTATAAAAGTGCGCGTACAATGGGCACATTTGCCAATCTATCTTCCACTCCATCTAGCAGAATTTCTTAATAAGAATCCAACTGTGCTTTATCACTTTCCATTGCAGCTTCAGTAGCATACAGTCAGTTTTACATTCCTGCCAGCACTGTGGAAAATGTAACATTGCACAGAAACACAGATGAAATCCCAACAACAAGATATTTTCATTTTCTTTTGGAGGTGCCTGAATTTTTTTCAGGGTGGGGGGAGGGAGAGGCTGGGAGGGAGGAGGGAAGAGAAAAGGGCAGAAAGAATTTTCATTTCTGTACTGAAAAGTCTTTTCTGAAAACTTTCTTTTTTGGAGAGGCTGTATAGTTTTAAGTCAGAAGTTAGGTTGTTTATTAATTATTATTATTTGTTCCTGAAGGTTTTCAGAAAAGAATTTTCAGTACAGAAATGAAAATTCTATCTTCACATATACTGCAACTGGTTCAATTTTCATTGCATTATATTTTGCAATATTAAACAAGTCTCAATAACCAAGGATGCAGTTGGAAACAATGTTAGGAACATTTATTAGAAGACTACACATGAAGGCAATACAAAATACTTCATTAGCCATACTCAAAAAGCTTACTTCTCTTCCAGTAAGAACATGTCTTGCTAGCTTCACTTTGGCAAAATTTCCTTTTCCTATTGTTTTTAGTAAGCGATAATTTCCAATGTGAGGGTGTTCTTCATTTGTAGATGTAATTGAGTTTCTACACCGGGGGATGTTTTGTCTGCTACTCGATTTGGTGGGTTGGACATGTGGTTCAGCGTATCCATCCACGGAGGTATGCTATAAAGGAAACAAAACAAAAGCACACAGGTTTTAAACAGTTACAAAATACTTTAAGAGTAAAAATCTGAGTCCCCAATTTTTAAAAAACTTGATCAATAACTTTCAACTGTAGCTTAAGCAGATTTGTTGCCACTAGGTGAAGTTTGATTTATGCATCAAGAAAGAAATTCAGAGGCGCACTAGAACTGCTTCTACATGTAAGCAAGAGCGATATTTAGACTCCTCAAAAACAAGCATACACATTTTTCCTTCAAATATGAAAGTATGCTATTAAAACAGAACAAATTGTGATATAGTGTGTATTTGTTAATTATCAAATCTTTATGTAAGCATCCTTGAGCCCTTAAAATATAAAAGTACTTTCATCTTTAAACAGTCACCCTTATTTTCCTGGAAGTTATGAATAAAAAGTATATTTTTGCAAATTGCAAGAAAAATGGATTTATCATTTGTCTGAAAAGGTTTCCAGTAAAACTGTACTTGAGATGAAGGAGAATAAAATCTTAAAAGCCAACTTTGCTCCAAGAATATTTTTACTTTCATAACTTTTACTTCCACACTTTCTCTAGAAAAAAAATTCTGAAGTTATCAGCACCCTAGTTTTAATAAAATGGACTGTTTTCTATCAAAAAAATATTCCCACATCTATTAAGTCCATTGCTAATAAGTCACCAAAACACAGAAATAAAAAGGCTGTGCTGACCACCAGTAACAGTACCACTGTTCTACTGTGAAAATCAGTAGCGTGATCCTACAGTGTCTCCATATCTCAGCCTTCAAATGGTTACCTCTGCTTCCAGGTGTTGCACATACGACATCACTTGTACATACGACATCACTTCCAGGTGTTGCACATACGACATCACTTCCTCCCACCTCAAAGCGCAACAAACTGTCCCTCAAAAAAAACATGCAAGCGTTTATATCTGCACAAATTACATCTGGGCTGAGGAGGTCCCAACTTGAAAATATGGTCCCTTATGCCTTTTGTATTCCCTTCTTGTGTTATAAGCCAGAGTGCTAGCAAGCTGAATGTAGTGTTCGAGGTAAGGAATGCCATTACATTATTTCTATAGTCTCTGCCCATGTAGTAAGTTTAGCTGAGAATGTGGGCCTGTATTCTGTAAAGCAGAGACTGAAGAGGACCTACAGGTCCTGGTTGATAACCAACTGAAATGAGTTCCCACTGTGATAGGTGACTAACAGGGGCAAGATCCTTGGATGTATGTGGGACGGATGTGAGACCTTGGAAGCATGGAAACTTCAAATGACAGCTACACTGAGATGCACAAGACAATATGGTCTGTAGGATTATTCACCAACTTGTGCATCTGTAAATGTTATATGTTTACATTTGTGAGCTAGGGATTGTATTCTAGCTGTATGGGGGAGGATTACTAAACTCCCTCCTGAGCCCAGATCAGTGGGAGTGGTAAACAACTGCAAAGAAGTACCACCTCCTGGGCAGAATTGTATATAATGATTTCAACCAGGTTCAAGATGCCCAACAGACAAAGAAAGGGCTTTTGCTATAAAGAGTCGATGTAAACAGATATGAAATTGTAACCAAAAGGGCAAAACCCTGCTGGAAGGATCTGAAGGACCGGAAACTGCCAGGATCTCCATGTGGAAGGCGGGTGACACTTGGTAAGTGTAACCGGCATGCAAACTGTTTTATTAGGTTTTCTCTGTAACCACTTTGTCTTCAAAATGTACTATGTTTTGTGAAAGCTGGCTGGTCACCAGTAAACAGTGTCAATTGTCCTTCGAGAGAGCACAAGCCGCAGATGCTGGACTAAGGTCAGACCTGCTGGGAGAGTCAAAAAGAACTGAAGGGGGACTCCAAGACTACATCCATCAGTGTAGAGGGAGAGGGATGTGGGTCTCTGCCCTTACCCTGGTAGTGAAGACAAGCCCTAAGTCGACCTAAGTTACACTACATAGCTTAGGTCGACTTACCCCAGTATCTTCAGTGTGCTGCGTCAACGGGAGATGTTCTCCGGTCAACTTGCCTGGAGTACTGGAGTTGACCAGAGACTGCTCTGCTGTCTATTTAGCGGGTCTTCACTAGACATGGATTGCAGCAGCATCTATCTCCTGGGTAGTGAAGACAAGCCCTTAGAGAGGTGACAGCTGGAGGCCTCAGACCTAAATGGGCGCTCTGGGGGAGGATAACAGAGGGGGCAGAGGTGCTGTTAATCCCAGAAATGACAAGTCTGAACAAGTGCACTAAGTGAAAGTAGGGAGTTGGTATTACCTCTGTATACTGCATTAGTGAGACTACTAGTGGAAACCTGTGTCCAGTTCTGCTGTCCACACTTTAAAATGGACTTTGAAAAATCTGAAATGACTAAAAAAAGACCTACAAAAATCATTCAAATTCCAGAAAAGATGCCTTACAACGAGGGACTTTAAGAAGCTCAATCTGTGATTTGATCACAGTCTAAGCCCCGACACAGGGAGAAAGGTATCTCATAGCAGTGGGCTCTTTAATCTAGCAAACAAAAGCATAACAAAAACCAATGTCTGGAAGTTGACAAATTCAAAGTGAAAACAATGTGCACATTTTTAACAGTCAGAGTAATTAACCATGGAGCAATTTACCAAGGAAAGCAGCGGATTATCCATCATGAAGTCTAAATCAAGACTGAGTATGTAAGAGAAACGCCCTAGTTTCAACCAGAAGTTACTGTGCTTGATGCAAAAATTAAAGCAAGACGTTCTAAGGTGTATAATACGCAGGAGCACAAAGCAGATCATAACATTCCCTTCTGGGCTTAAAATCTATGAAGGGTAAAAGTGCTGCATAATTTGGATTATTTAAAACTGCTTTTTGAATAGTACTTCAAGCCCTTCATTAGTATAAGTAAATTGCAACAAGCCTAATTGTGTGTGCCTCAGTCCCCTTGAAAAAGGAAAAGGACGCTGCCAGGTCAATCATTTAAAAGAAAAATAACTTATGTCACTACCACCACCATAAATTATTAAAAATGATTGAGGGTGTAGCTTTAGAAGTATATCATTTAATTTTTGCACTAACTTGCATAGTAAAAATACACTAATTTCTTTTACTTTGTTTATAGTCAATATTACTTTCAAGTTCTCATACGCCAACACAATTCTGTAATGTTTAGGTTGCATATACAAGACAGAAGATGTTCATTTGTCTAATAAAATGGTAGCATGTTATTTTTATTTAATTACATGTTTTTAAAGTACACATGTTTCCATTAGACTTGGAAATAGACTCTCAGACTAGGCCAAAAACTTCAAAAAGTTTCTTCTAGCACATGCAGGTAAGCAGGTCTTTCTTGATGTTTTTACATACAGTTAAGAAGAGACTAAGTAAAAATTATGCACACATCACGAAAAGGCTGCAGAAAGAGGATTTTAAGATTTTTCCTCATTATATTACAGTTGTACCCAAGTGCTAGATGCTGTACAAGCAAATTTTCAACTTTTCTTGTCTGGAATCATCTCTTACTAACTCAAGACGAGATGCAAGTATAAACAGAGACTGGGGGAGAAAGGGAGAGCAGTGATTTGAACGTATGGTTACATTCTACATTTACCATCTACAACTAGACAGTGTCAGATAAAAGTTTGTTATAGCTGTAATGTATAAACAGCTGTCAGAAATACGAGTGGCCATCCAACTAGACATTACGAGTTAATTTCCATAGGCATAATGGGATAAGTGCACCTTGAGTAGGGATTTAAAGACACCTGCTGGAGTAGTAGATGAACAGACAATACGCAGAGTGGCGATTTCTTCATGGGACATGTCATTTCATCCAGATTTTGCAGGGAAAGCAGTTATTAATCGTACATCAGCATCATACAAATGATGTAGGACCACAGTCTAAAACAGACAACACATCACCCTATGCATATTTCCACTGTAGTCCTAATCAGTATTCATTGAGGAAAAGGGTGCAGTGAACCAAGCTGCACCACCCACTGCAGAATCGCTGTGACAATGGATGCTTCTGCTAAAGAAGCTTGTACCAGGGTGTAATGTCTAGTAAAGATATGCATAGAGCCCCAATGTTGCCACTCTACAGAACTCCAGGAGGTGGAATACCCTGAAAAGAAGTCATTGAGTCAGGCTGGGCTCTGGTCAAGTGGGCCCTCATACTCTTAAGTGAAAGAGTCTCCAAGATCTCACAGCAAAGTATAATGCAACCTGAAATCCATTCAGAAAGTCTGTGAGGAGACTGCTTGATTCCCTTTTACTCCGTTCACCAATAAAAACTAAGTCACAGAGAACTCCTGAAGGGTCTCATCCTTTTCAGATAGAAAGCTATGGCCTGACAGACATTCATAGAATGGAGGCTCCGGTCTTCTCTGGTGGCATGAGGTTTTGGGTAGGTGTATGACCTGTGTGATAGACCCAGACCAGAGGGGTACAGGAGTCTGGTAGAGGGCAAATATACTGGTCACTGGATGAGTAGTTTTCTGTTCCCTGAGTGACCAGAGCAGGGGCTGCACTAGAGTAATCAGGAACCTGCTAGAACCAGTTAAGGCAGGCAGGCTA